ATAAGCTATGCAAAGTAATAAATCCAGGTATACCATGGAGAGAATTTAGGATCTATTTATATCAATACCACATTACAGAATGCAATCAAACCTGGTGAAATTAAGGAAATTCATTACTAATCAATGCAGACCCATCTATAAGAATGCAAACAAATAAACTAACATTTTGTATATTGGCTGCATTTTACTGGAAAGCCATTTAATGTATATAAAAATAAATTCACAATCAGATTTGCAAGTTTTTCCTGTCAACTGACAGAAATTGGAACTGATATTATCATCACCCCTGGATCCCTGTATTCTTGATAATAACTACTATTTGGAATAACTAATAACAGTTAAGAATGACTTTTATAATTAGGCCCATATAATAACCAATTTATGTGAACGTCTCATACATCTGTGGAAAAAGATTCCTTGCTCCATTTTGGATTTACTGGCGTTTTGCGTATCTGCCACTCAGTGTTAACATAGATTCTTATGTGTCCTTTTTATCTAATAAGGAAATCTGAGAAAACAGATAATGCCAAAGATTGGTGCTTGTTTCATTTATTTCATAAACAAAGTCATCCACCATGCAATGATAGTATAAGAAAGTAGAGTCAGATTAAGTAGTGGACTGCACTACCTTTAACTGCAATAGCTGCAAGCAAATGCTTCCAATAATTGGCGATCAATTGCTTAGGTTACAGTGTATGAATTCTGATTCATTCCCTCACTACAAACTGTACTAACTTAGTAATATTCAAAAGTATCCTAGGATGTATTTCCCATTTTGGGTCCTACCCAAACATGACTGAGGAGTTTAGGTCTGAAGTCTGTCTTGGCCATTCCAAATATTGAATTTGTCCTTCTTTATTGATTCTCCAATAGAGCAGTTACAAAATAGTAGTATGTTGGGAGACTGTGTTGTTACCCAACCACTAGTGCTTCAGCTTTAGCCAACAGAGATAGGTTGATATTTTCTTATAAAATCTCTGATAGCAAGCACAAGTCACACTTTGTCAATGATGGCAAAAGTTTCAGATCCTGAGGCAACATCCCCAAACTATACACTATCCCTTCCACACTTGACATCTGGTATGGGATTATTGTAGAATGCAAACTTTGATTTCTCCCAAACTTAATGATTGCAACATGGCTTCAAAAATTCCATTTTTAACACACTCTCCATCGCACATTCTTTCAGAAATATGGATAGCTATCCAGAAGGTTTGGCAATGTTCAAATGAACATCAGTGTTCTTTTTAGTGAGTGATGGCTTCTAGGTTGTTATGAATCCTATTTTCTTACACAGTGCCTGCTATGGTTGAAATCATGAACACTTGACTTGGGCCAAGGTAAAGGAGGCCTGCAGCTTCTTAGAAGTTACTCTGTAGTCTTTGTGATTATCTGGATAATTTTATGCTGGGGTCTTTATGTAATTTTTGACAGAAAAGCCACAATTTTGAAAAATCTCAATTTTCAAATTATAAATCTGTCTGTGGATTGGTGTGGACCCAAAACTGAGTTAAGATTTCATAATTTTTTATAGACAGTTAAATGTTAATGATTTTTTAACAAGGTCTTCAGAATTCATTTTGAGCAAGCACTGTAGATCTTAAAATCTGTTTCTTGAGACAAACAGCCAAAGTTTGACAATTTTATGCAAGATGGGGCTGGCCCAAATCAGCTCTGGTTGTTTAGTGAATTAATTCTATAACTAGTCCTAATTATCTCTTTAATTGGCTTAAATGAAATAGGGAATGATTTTTTTTCTCACCCTAACACAATCACATGTTGGATGATTTTGTTTATTAAATGCCTCTTTTTATTTGTTCACTCAAACACCATTTATATACCAGGAAGGCCCATATAAATCCCAGAAAACATTCAGTTGCAAAGATATATAATAATTCAGAAAATCCAATGAATGAGAATGCTTCCTCACAGAACTGTAGATCATGATCTATAGGAAGGCTTCTGATTAATAGTAGAGACGCATAAGGCTCTGTATCCCAGTTCTTTTAACAACAGCTAAAGAAATATCTTCCCACCTGAAGTCAAATGAAGAAAGCAGGATAATCAAGAAAAGACTTTTATGATGTCTGTGTTTTTAGTATAATACTAGTTATGAAAACATTTTTTTTAGATTTCAAACATGTTCAGGGAAGCAGAATGTATTCTTAATGTACATTTTTGGTACCTTTATTTAGATCTCAAATGTTAGTAAAAAATAAAGCAGATCTGACAAGTGATTAAGTCCATTATTGCTGTAAGCACTCTAAACTATAGGTCTTGGGTTAAATATGTAGTTACTTTTGCTCTGTTAATATGTCTGAGGATTACATTTCAGAATCTAATTCTTCTATATAAGAAAGTGGTTTGGTTTTCTTTTTTAATTTTCTTCACTACCATTAAGATTTCTAATCTAACTTTTGCAGTGGCAATGTCAGCACAAGACATCTATTAAATTTTTGAATCTCCAAAGAACAGCCTTTAGAAGTGGCATTAAAGGATAATATTTCTTGCCATTCCAAGTTAAATCTTGATCAATGTGTTAATGATTAAAGGTGCCATAGATCACATTTTCCAGTGGGAATTATAAGAACACCTTAAAATAATGTATAAAGGAAAACACTTTGAATTGCATAGGATAATTTTTGTTTTGTTTTATTTTAAACCAGGATGATTTTTTTGCCTTCTTAGTCTATCTATTATATACTTTGGTATTCCCTGTTAATTAGAGTCAAGGGTAGTTATCTTTGAAGCCCAGATCAGTCTAGTGATACTTTATGAAACACAATACATTCTGTGAATCAATCCATGCTTTGTTAAATATTCTTTTTATTATGAGAAAAGTGCCTAAACTCTTGATTCATCAGATGTCACTATGTTCTTAAGTAGTGTATCAGTACTGTTAATATTCCTTTATAATGAAGCTACATCTTCATTTAATAATGGCTTCCTTTCCAGTTTATTGAAACCAGCCACTGTATTTAATTCTCTCTCAGTTGTAATCTCAAGTTGATGAAGTTTGCCTTTATGTCAAGACTTCTTGAGTCTATATTATGACTTTCTATAGAATGATCAGATTTAACTAACATATTTGACTATATTGGGAAGTGAGTTGGATGCATAGATAGCAGTAAGCTAAAATATGGGGGGATGTTTCCCAATCCTGAACATATTTCTTAGAAGTATGTCCCTTTGAATGGCAGAGAATTCCTTCCAATTGAACATGAAGAAATGCCAATGATACAGTATCACTTATGTGCCTTCTTTTAGCATCCTTGTGATAAAAGAATCATAGTACGCACAGGTTTCTTTTTATAAAATATTATTTAAAGCTTTCACAATTGAGGACAATTTTAAGGATGGGGAAAAGAAAAAGATGTGCCTTATAAGATTAATCCAGCTGAAGTTCTATATCTAATTGTGCTCTCAAGCTTTGCCAAATGATTTGCTTTTTGTATATTAGGACAAAAGATTTTCTGTGTATGGCTGAGCAGAGGTTAACCATGCATACCCAGCAGCTGCACAAGAGCTGAGAACAGGACTTGGTGGTGGGGAGGGGTGGGGGGGTGGACAGGGAAAAGGATTTGATATAGCTTCAGTGCATCAATACTTATATCTTTATTTTGTTTGGTGTCACTTTTTTATATCCACCTGAAAAATATATACAAGATTTTCAAATGCTTCACTCATTTATTGGGAGAGAGGAAATATTGGCCTTATATTCAGACACAGTTGAGATTGTTTTTTTAAAAAATATAATGAAGATTACATATTGGATTTTGAATATCACCTGAAATAAGTTTGCCTCCCATTCACCATTACCATCCAAACTGCCAAAAATCTTTTCAGGTTTTGAAGCATTTGTGTGGGGCATAGCAATCAATACGTTGAAATGTTTCTTTCAGCTTGAAAGATTTCCTTTTCAAAAAATCTTTATTTACCCATGAAATTAGGTGAATGTCTACTCTGAAGTAAGACTTATAGATTTCAAGGGGAACAATCGAAATACTGTAAGGGAAAATCTGGTAAAGATCATATCTGCAGATGGCCACCAGAATTTGGGAAATTATTTGAGAGCACTACAATTATTTTTGCCACTACTATATTAATGGTAGTGAGGGAAAAAAGTTTACAAAGCTGCATTAATGGAAAGCAGTGTTGCTTTTTTAAAAAAAAAGAAAAACAAAAAGTTACAATACAGTATTAGCAAGCCTTGACCCCTTAATATAATATTATAGAAAATTATCTATAGGTTTTTGGAGACCACTAAATTAGCACAGGGGTTATTTAAAGTTATATGGCAATGTTTGCAAATACAAGTTTTGCACTATGGGACAATTTATACAAGTAGCTGAAGCACTTACCAAGAGTACCAAGAGATTCAGTTTATTTGGATTGATATTTTGCCTTCAGGCAGGTTGAGTTTCATGACGTTCTGCACAGGTTAATTAATCTTTGGTAGCCAATAGATTCAATAGATTAGGATGTAATTAGAACAAAAGGAATCAGGGATATTGCAACTCAAAACTCAGGGCCAAAATGTCTCTCAGGCAGCTCCCAAATTTGCTTTCTTAGCAAATTGTATGAAACATACATGTTAATAGAACAAAATTTTATGGGGATGGATATTTCCTTTCCATAAATTTCTCCTGTTTTATGGCTATAGTTTTGTTTAATATGTTATTTTTCCTGCTTCCTGCTTCTTAAAAGCCAAGGTTATTCTGCCTCACACTGGAATTTTGTCAACCACTTTATCAAGATTAAAGTCAAGCATCATAGAAAAGATTATCTTCAGAAACTGTATCAGAAGACAAATGGATGGGATTCAGCAGTAAGCATCTTCATTTGCTACAAAATGGGAATTCTAATAAAAAAACAACAGGTTAAGAACAATGGATGTTATGCCCACATATTGCACTCCCAACATTAGTAGTTATTAGTACCCATTACCAAATAAACACATATCAACATGCAGAATATGGGCTATGTATTGTAAAGGATATGGCACTCCCAGAATAAGGTGAGATTTCAGAAATATCTTGAAGGTCACCACATTCAGACTTGATGAGAGATATTGAGAGGCTTTCAGCAGTGCTAGGAGGATGTGCTGGTGAACAAGGGTGATGGTTCATATGATGTGATGACATCTTGGTCCTCAGACTTGTGGTCTCTCTTGTTAAATCTAAGGATTCTGGGGAGGCTCTGTCTTTCCCAGGGAAGGAGGCAGAAGGAGCCCCTAAGGGGTTCTGAAATGGGTACGCCATAAGGGGCAGAGGAAAGGGATGGCGAAATGAAGATGAAGTGAACCCTGCGGTGGCAGACAGTGGAGATTGATGGAGAGCAGCATGGTGGCTGCCAGGAGGCGGGACAGAGGCAGGCTGGTCTGATGAATTTTTGCGGACAACTAAGGGCAGTGCTTCTGTTTGGTCTGTGGAATTAGACAGTGGCACATTCCCAAAGGTATCTAGTGGGTTTGGAATGATGATGTCCCCAAAGCACTGGAGGCGTTGGTTTGCTGTGTGGAAGTTGTGGTTCTCTCCATTGACAGCAAATCTTGCTTGGGGGATCTGAAGAGGTGGGAAGACCTGAGGAAGTTGACGTACAGGCTTTGAAGAGAAAATCTTGACTACAGTGTCCACAACCTGAGACATGGCAGTGTTCAGTTCCTGCTTTAGCGTCTCAGCTAAGTGCTTGCCTTCTGGATGAAAAGAGTTGGGCCCATGATCTTTTTCTCTGGGGCCATCTTTTCTGGGTTTGTTTTCCACTATCTCCTGTTCTCTAATCAGAGCTCTTGCACGATCAATAAATTGCCCCGGGTCCAATTCACACATTTCATTATCCGACCTCCCCACAGAATCTCTCGCCCTGGCATCCAGTGTTTCCGAACGCAGGCTGTCTTCAGAGAGGTTACCAGCATCTTCGTCATTTTCAGAATCTGTGCTGTCATAGATTTGGTAGAACTTTTCCTGAAGCTGGCGCAGCTGTTTCTGCATGTCCTCCAGCTGCTGTTTCAGCTGTCTGCGCTCCTCTCGCTTCTGTTCTTTCCTAGCTGAAACCAGCTGCTGGAAACTCTGTTGCTGCTGTTGAGGCAGCTTTTGCTTGCGCTTATTTTCTCGGTAACTTTCTCGGGGACTCACAGACTGCAGAGCCATCTCTCTTTCATTTTCATTGCCCCTTAATGCCACACTTGGGGAATGGCTCATCCCTCGAATGATATTCTCAACCCGGGCACGCTTAGCTCTCAGGTGCTCGTTGCATAACCGATCCATATCAAACTGGCTCATCGTGGGTCTGCCAAATGGAGAAAGACACTCTTGGGGGCTGTCTCTTGAAGAGTTGCTGCACACATCCTCCTGATGTACTTCTGAGCCTGTGCTGGAGAGGCCACTCGCTTGAAAGCTGGGCTCAGTGCCACCATTTTTGTTCATGTTATTTTTCAACAGCTGGGAAATTATAGTTGCTCCTGGAAAAGGCATCATGGCATCTTCATAGGAGTTTGCCCTCTTCAGCAGCTTGCGAAGCACATTTGACTTCTCCCCATCTGCATGCTGCACCACTGAATACTCAACATCCTGCTCAGAACCTTGGGGATTCATGGCACTAAAAAATGATGCTCTCGCCTTTGCAAAAAAGGCAGATGCTGTCCCTACCGTCCGTTTCACTCCAATGTCAACTCTTCTTCTCTTGGTCTGCCTACTTAAGAGGGCTGTGCTGTCATGGTCAGGCATCACTGAACAGTTATTGTGCCATCTTCAAAAGCTTGTCAGCTGGGCACAGCTCAAGAATCCTGGGACCCTGGCCAACAGAACAAAAGGACTGATGAATCATTTTCTTTAAATTTCTCCAAATTTCCTGACCTCAATCCTGAATCAAATGCAAAATGCATAGGCTCTGGGATTTATGGCACATTACAATTATTGCAATTTATTATGCACTCTGCTTGAAATGAAACACTTTAAATATTTCTGCTCCACTGGTTTAAGATGGATTAAGATTTTTTTTAAAAAAAAAAAAGAGGGGGGGAGAGGAAAAACTGCTTAAGCACCAGTAATATATGGTTCTTTGCACAAATGCCTAAAATAATACTGTTTATCTTTAGAAAAAAAACTAAACAGTAGATTAGAAGAACACAGACACTGACAACCAATTGATTAAATTTAGGGTTTGAAATAATGTCCCAAAGAAAATGAAAGTAAGTCTTGTTCTTAGGCAAGGCAATCATATATAATTTGGGCTAAAAAATCAAATTTAGTTGCAAAACAGATTTGAGATTAAAACTAGAAATTTTCTTTAATTTTTTTAAAGATTGTTCCAATATATATGTAAGTATGAGCAGGTGCAGTGTACATACCTATAGACAGGCATGTTAAATAGGATGATACAAACCTTAGAAATCATTATGGGAACTATTTAAGGAAGAAATTACATTTTGGTTATAAAATACATGTGATACTGCATTTTGCAGTAAAAAATAAGTTTCGAAAACATATTATTCCCATAGTGTCATTTTAAACATTTCAGAAAGGGATAAGATGGGGAGGACACAATTGATCATCCTTGAGATATTTCCCCATTTCATAAACTATGATACATGGCATCAAGTTCTTTGCATAAAGTAGAAACAAGGCATTCTTAGCAGTGGGTTACATTAGCTTCCAAAGATAATATCTCAGGTGATTATTAAAATAATTTTTGAAATAATTATTTCATCTAATATTGTATTTGCATAAAACCATATTTTCTGCAACACACACACACACACACACACACACACACATGGAGAGAGAGAGAGAGAGAGAGAGAGAGAGAGAGAGAGAGAGAGAGAGAGAGAGAGAGAGAGAGAAATTCTGAAGGAAAGAAACGGAGAGATGAAAGAAAGCAACATCAAGCAATAGCGTGAGAAAGGCAGATATCTTTTCTTTCATAGGAACCATCATTGTTTCCCAGGAATAAAGAAGTTAAAAAAGAAGACTGATAACACATTTCCTTGCATTTTATAATAGGCTCTTGACATCATTCATGACTTATTAACCATGATGCGAAACTCACATGGCATATGAAGCATTACAGACGTCTTCCGGTACCTTCATGTTGAAAACTATACCAATGTAATATTAATTTTTCCCATACTATGTTGATCTAATATTAAACTCCACATTAGCTTAATAGTGCAGAGTTTCCACAATAATAGGGTATCTTGCCAAAGGCAGCATTCAGACTTTTGGATCTGTTCCCATCTGTTTCGGTTCACCTGTAAAAACATCTACGTGCTCCCTAGGACTGCATCTGTAGCTAGCTTTTAAAGAATGACTACCCATGCAAATAAGCATAATTTCAGCCTGAAATAATCTACACTATCAGCGTGTATAGCCAAGGCTTGTAAGTGCAGTAGTAAAAAGATAAAATAAAATAAAATCTTACGAAAACTTTTAGAATGAAACCTATATTTGTTTGTTTATCATTCAAAGGCTATGCATTCATTCAATTATTTTGGATGTTATAAAATAATTCTTAAGAAATGCTATGCAAATTTTGGAATATTCAACTACATTTTTATAATTTTTTGCAGTGTATTCCTAAGGAGACTATACAGTTGTTAATAGTTTTACTCAGAACTGGTACTAAGAAACACAAACACACATACAGAATTTTGCAATAGCAAATGTAACTTTGGGGCAAACGTATCTGATTGGCATCTTAGTTTAAATTCAGTTTACTTTTTAAAGCAACTGTCTTTCCTCATATATTGTCTCCACTGAGATAAAAATATTCAGTCTCAGATTATATAATAGAAATGAATTTACATAAAGACCTAAGAATCAAATATTTAATAATTAGAATTAATTAAAAAGATACCTTATTGTGTCATGTTTTACATGGAATTATGTGAGAAATTAAATGATTTCAATTCCCTGTGAGATAAAAGGAATTTCAGTACTAGGTGTCAGTGGCCTTTTCTTCTCTCTGTTTATTTTGTATGATTATGGATCTAGTTCAGATCCTTTGTGTATAAACAAGTATCGGTGTATTTTCAGATATGCGCTGTTTCATTTAATTGAATGGAAGCATTCCACTTCACAACAGAAAGTCATTTTTTTAGCTTCTAGGTTAATTACAACTAAATAAGCTTGCCCATAAATAAAAGGCAAAAAAAATATATATGCAGGGGTGAAAGTCCCGTACTTGGACAAGATTTGTAGCCTGTCATTATATGCTGGTGTAAATACCGTCTGAGGTCTGCCTCTACTTTCAAAATCCCTCATCACTCTAAATCTCAAATAGGTTGCTTGTTGTTGGGCTGCATTAATGAAAGTGCATCATTTTAGAAGCGACTTAAAGACATTTGCAGGAAGGAAAAGCAAGAGCAATACAAATGTTAACTTTAGGTTTCAACTGACCTCTGATATATAACAAAGTATTCCCAATATGCTTTAAAAATGGTTCGTTCCTACCTAATTTCTTTCTCCTTTTATTGTATTTCATTTAAAGGTAAAATGAGGCATAGGATGTCTGCAACGCTCATAAAACGTCGAATTGAGAAAAGTCATAAGGTCAATGCCATGGATCTATTATCCAAAGAATTCATTTTTCTTCTACATCTTCGCTTACAGTAGAGCTACCAGAAGAGAAGGCCAGACTATCACTGGAGACAACAAGTAGTATTGCTTATACAGTAAATAAACGCGCGCTATAGTTGGTCCTCTACTTTCCTCATGTTTCCTTCATTCCCGCAGACGCTCATGCTATCTCCTTATAAGACAAACTTTATATTTTGCCTTCTGAACTTAAATAATTATTTTACGTTATGTTTATACTGGGGCTGAAAAATGCCCCCTGGACCAGCCTCTGGGTTTGAAAAGGGCCAGCATGCATAACCATTCTGAGGGAAACAATGCTGCAGAAAAATCTAAAATTCTGAGTTATCAAGAATCAGATCTTTGGATAGGATCGTGGTAAGATTTTCCCACTAGATATGTGAAAAAATACACATGAGGAAGGGTAAACTGGTTATTGAATTAGAGAGTGTGCTCCTGTCCAATTTAGAGGAAAGCAAAGCTGCTCAGCTTGATTTATTTGTTGTTCAGAGGTAATTCAGAAGTCATTTAAATTTTAGCTTTCATTATGGTTCACATAAATATCATTGATTGGTTTACTGGTTTGAGTTTGTACGTTTTAAGTTATTCTTGACAAGTCCCTCTTTGCCAAGCTTTCGTTATTTGAGCCTTCAACTTACATAGGACTTCACAAGGACTCGGTTTTTCAAAGGTGCTGAGTGGTATGAGAGAAATAGCCTGTTTTTACAGCTTCTGATAACTACACAATGTAGTGGGGGGGGGAAATTCTCTAAACTTGGATAACGTCTTGCACTTCTGAAATCAACCTTCTTCTCTATTCCACTGAACTCACAGTCCACCACACCCCACCACACATACCACATTGCAAAAGATATGAGTAACAAATATTATCACATATTTGTGATAATACAAAAATATCCATTGCTCACAAGTACAAACATTCTGTTTAAGAAGGCATTTCAGTCATTAGTCCTCCCTATCTTAAACACATAGCACACATGGGTTATAATGTTTTAGGTGATACTACTGTAAAGCAATTATACTGTATATTATGAATTTTTGCTAAACTGCTTTTCCACTGGTACAATGTAGATTGATTTAAAATAAAATATAACCTAAAACAGGCAGAATGGAAATTGAAAAAAAAAAATCTCTGGGGGAAAAAAGTACTTTTTTATAGGAAGAGTAGAATTTCTAATACATTTTTAAAGTCCAAATTGATATAAACTGCTGATTGCAGCAATGAACTTTTCAAAGCAAAACTGCAAATTTTTAAATTATTAGTTCTCATAGAATGCAGCTACTCTTTCTCCTTCATTGTACACAGAACTGTACACCCTACAAGTAAAGAAATTCAATGATACCCTCAAATTCTTTATATATATATATATATATTTGAATTTTTTTAATTAAACAAGATATTTCACCCAGCAAGATTGGATGAAACACATTAAATGATGTCAACAATCCATATCAATAGTAAAACTTAAGTCCTTTGCATTGCACTGACTTACTTGGAAGTATAAAATATTTTTGCTGCACTTCAGAGAAGTGCAAAGCATGGATACGTAAAATTTGCATAGCTTCACTACCCCTCGAATTAAATAGCCTTCTGAAGCATTGTGAAGGAATTTAGAAGTCCATTTTTCTACCACTGATTTTTTTTTTTTTAAAAAAATTAAATTATGTCATTATATAAAAATGTAAATGTAACACGAAAATCTTTATAATTTTTTTTAAAAACAAAGAAATTAGACAACTGTTTAGCATCACTGGCACATGAGACCAGTATGACAAGGTATTAAAAAGCTGCTATGAGATATTTCGCATTCTGTCCCTCCTGCATAGGTATGTAGTGCCTTGATGACTACAGTGAGTTCTATCTTATTGGCTTTGGAATGCATTGGGGGGGGGGAAATCTCCTGGATAAATGCATCCACTGTTTACCCAATTGGTACCAGAAATATATAAAATAATATTTTTCTAGCAATCCAATGTAACATTAAAAAGACATTTACTACCAAAGTCAACAACTATATTAAACTGCTAATACATTATTCCTACCCTAAGGTCATCCTACACTTTTCCCCTCCTCCCTAAGGTTATGGGACATCCAATCAGAAGACTGAATCAACACATCCATAGCACATACT